AGTGCTGGGATTAAAGGTGTGTGCCGCCTCTGCCTGGCCTCTATGTTTAATCTAGTGGCTGGCTCTGTCCTCTGATCTTCAGGAAAATTTTATTTGTTAGAGAGTACAAACAAAATAGCACCACACTTCCACCCCCAACTTCATGTATTTTCTTTTAACTGCCAGTTTGTGCTGCCCATGTGTGAATGGTTGTGGTGCCAACCACTGCTGCAGCATGAGAATTCTACCAGTGGCCACATACGCAAAACAAGAATGATTCTCCCTTCCCCGGCAACTGTCAGCTGCCAAGAGCTCCTCCATAAGAGGCGTGGCCTGGAGATCGGCTACCTCCATCTATGCTAGGATCGTGGCTGGCTTGATCAAGGGCAGGTACCACAGCTGCTGCGAGCTCATGATTATGATCATCTGGTTATGTCCAGAAGTCAGCACTGTACTCTTGTTCACTTAAATGAAACAGCTCAAGGCTATTAAAAAGATACTTGATAAGAAGTAAATCTGATGTCATTGTTTTTCTCTGCTGAGTAGTACTCCATTGTGTATATGTACCACATTTTATTTATCCATTTCTCAGTTGAAGGGCATCTAGGTTGTTTCCAGGTTCTGGCTATTACAAACAATGCTGCTATAAACAATGACATCATGAGGTTTGCAGGCAAATGGATGGACCTAGAAAAAAGATCATCCTGAGTGAGGTAACCCAGACTCAGAAAGACAAACATGGTATATACTCACTCATAGGTGGATACTAGATGTAAAGCAAAGGATGACTAGACTGCTACTCACAACTCCAGGGAGGCTACCTAGTAAAGAGGACCCTAAGAAAGACACGGGGATCGCCCAACAACAGAGAAATGGATGAGATCTACATGAGCAAACTGGATGTGAGGGGGTGGATAATGAAGGGCAAGGGTCTGGGGAAAGAGAGCTTAGGGGAGCGGAAGATCCCAGCTGGATCAGGGGCAGAGAGGGAGAACAAGGAAAGAGACACCATGATAAATGAAGACCCCATGAGAATAGGAAGAAGCAAAGTGCTAGAGAGGTCCCCAGAAATCCACAGATACCTCCACAATAGACTACTGACAATGGTCGAGAGAAAGCCCGAACTAACCTACTCTGGTGATCAGATGGCCGAACACCCTAATTGTCGTGATAGAACTCTCATCCAATGACTGATGGAAGCGGATGCAGAAATCCATGGCCAGGCCCCGGGTGGAGCTCCAGGAGTCTAATCAGCAAGAAAGAGAGGAGGCATTATATGAGCAAGAGATATTGAGACCACAATTGGAAAAAGCATAGGGACAAATAGCCAAACTAGTGGAAACACATGAACTATGATCCAATAGCTGAGGAGCCCCCATGGAACTGGATCAGGCCCTCTGGATAAGTGAGACAGTCGATTAGCTTGAACTGTTTGGGAGGCCCCTAAGCAGTAGGACCAGACCAGGGCCTGTCCTTGGTGCATGAGCTGGCTTTTTGGAACCTAGGGCCTATGCGAGATGCTTTGCTCAGTCTAGGTGAAGGGAGGAGGGGACTGGCCCTGCCTCCGCTGAATCTGCCAGGCTGAGCTGAATCCCCAGGAGAGTCCTTGCCTTGGGGGAGGTGGGAATGGGAGGTGGATTTACATATCGTGGCTGATATGTAAAATTAAATTAAAAAAAGAAAAGAAAAAGGAAGTAAATCTGAGCCAGGCGTGGTGGCACACGCCTTTAATCCCAGCACTAGAGAGGCAGAGGCAGGTGGATCTTTGTGAGTTTGAGGCCAGCCTGGTCTACAGAGCAAGATCCAGGACAGCCAGGGCTACACAGAGAAACCCTGTGGGGGGGGGGGGGCAGGAAGGAAGTAAATCTGAGAACCTGGGGTGGGGTAGGTCAGTTCAGTAGCACAGTGCTGACCTAGAATATACAAGCTCCAGGATTCAATCTCAGGGAATAAAAAAAATAAAATTTGAATGAGTCTAGAGACAGAGGCTGAATTAGGGTTCTCTGGAGTCACAGAACTTATGGAATGAATCTCTCTCCCTCTCTCTCCCTCTTTCTCCCTCCCCCCCCTCTCTATCTATCACACACACACACACACACACACACACACACACACACACACACACACACACATTGGAATTTATCGGAATGACTTATAGGCTGCAGTCCAACTAACCCAACAATGGCAGGCTGTGAATGTAAAGTCCAAGAATCCAGTAGGTGCTCAGTCCCATGAGGCTGTGTGTCTCAGCTGGTCTTCTGTATATGCTGGAATCCAGAAGAAGTATGCTCCAATGCCAGGGAAGGAATGGGTCTTCTGGCAAGGCGAGGGCAAGCGGGGAAGAGCAAAAGCTTCCTTCTTCTATGTCCTTACATAGACTTTCAGCAGAAGTTGTAGCCAAGATTAGTGGTGTGTCTTCCCACCCAAAGGGTCTGGATTAAAGGCATGTGTTTTCCCACCCAAAAGGTCTGAATTAAAGACATGTGTTTTCCCACCCAAAAGGTCTGGATTATAAGCATGTGTTTTCCTGTCTCAAGGTCTTAATTAAAGGTGTGTGTCTTTTGCCTCAAGATTTGGATCAGAGGTGTGTTTTATCCCCTCTCAAGATTGAATCAAAAGTCAGTGTTTTCCAGCCTCAAGATCCAGATCACAGGTGTGCCCTCCATTTCTGGATTGTAGTTCATTCCAGATATAGTCAAGTTGACAACCAAGAATAGCCATGACACCATTGCTCATCCAAAGGATGGTGGCCTGTCACACGGCCGAAAATACAGTAAGGAAAAGATAAATTCGTAATAGACTTGTGGTGTAGAGATAGGACTGTTGATTGAGTCTGATGGTGAAGTAGAGAAAGCATTCAGATTGAGCAACAGTTTTCTAGATCATAGAATTTTTGATAATTTATTCACATTCTACTATCTAACTCTTTTCAGTGTTCGTAATTGGACCAAGCAAAGAGCCAAGGGACTTGGTTTGTAGTTACTTTCTGTATATAATCTTCACAAATAGATGGGTCTTTGAAATTATCACCTATAGTCTAATGTTTGAATCTTTTTTTTTTTCCTGTTTTGATTTGGTTTCTCTGTGTGATCAGCCTGCCTCTTCCTCCCAAGTGCTGGGATTAAAGGTGTGTGCCACCACACTGGACTAATGTTTGAATCTTGGAAATTCAATATCCACATCTTTTTACCATACACAAGCAGGGCACATCTATGTGATACCAGGACTTTTGAGGCAGGAGTACTGTTCCAAGTTCAAAGACAGCTTTAGATTCATAGTGCATTGCAGGGAGCAGCCAGGACTCAGACAAGATTCCTCCCCTCCCCTCCTCTCTCCTCCTCTCTCCTTCTCTCCTCTTCCCCCTTCTCCCCTCCTGCGTATATGTGAGCGTGTGTGTGTGTGTGTGTGTGTGTGTGTGTGTGTGTGTGTGTGTGTGTGTGTGTGTATACACGAAAATTCGAGGGCACTTGCATACCATGGACCACACAGAGGTCAGAGGATAATTTTTCAGAGTTGGTTCTCTTTTTTCACTGTGGGTTCCAGGGACTGAACTCGAGTTGTCAGGCTTACATGGCAAGCACATTTACCCTCGGAAATATGGCCCCTCCACCTTATTTTTTGAGGCAGGTGTCTTAATGACATTTCTGGCAACCATAAGAACTTGGCGGTGCAGAAAAGCAACTCCCAGCCGGGAGGTGGTGGCGCCACGCCTTTAATCCCAGCACTTGGGAGGCAGAGGCGGGCGGATCTCTGTGAGTTCGAGGCCAGCCTGGTCTACAGAGCGAGATCCAGGAAAGGCGCAAAGCTACACAAAGAAACCCTGTGTCGAAATTTAAAAAAAAAAAAAAAAAAGCAATTCCCACCAGCGGGGACCGGAAGCTTACAGTCTATCCTTTAGTCCTGCTTGTTGCTTTTCGCACCGCCGAGCAGTAGGGGGCGACAGATCCCGCGACGAAGTTCGGCTGCCTCCGCCGGCCGCTCCCGACGCGTCCGTCGCCGCGTAGACGTTGGGGGCGGGGCCGTGCTGTGCGCTGTGACTGGTGGCGGCCCCGGCGGCAGCTGCCGGCGTAATAGGGCGGTCGACGGCTTAGATAAGTTCCGTGGAGGCGGCAGTGGCGCCGACTACGCGTTGGGCGGCGGGAGCGGGCCCGGAACTTGGCGCTCAGCATGCCGACGGTGGAGGAGCTGTACCGCAACTACGGCATCCTCGCCGATGCCACGGAGCAAGTGGGCCAGGTAGGTCCCACTTGGAGGGCCCGCCGCTCGGGGTTGGACTCCCGCCGCACTGGGCCGCGTCGCCGGGCGCGCACTCGGGGCGGGAACGCGGCCTCGGCCTGCTCGGGAGCGCGCGCGGTCCCGCAGCCCGGCCTTCCCGCTGTCTCCCGGGACCCGCGTCCAGCCGCACCGCCTCTCGCGTTTCCCGGACTGTGATGAAATGGAAAGTTTTCCTCAAGGGATCAAAATTGTTGGTTCTGGAGGCAGAAGTTGTGAACGATCTAGAAAGAGTAGGATACGGGGCTTGTGCAAAGCACACGCGAGGCCCTGTCGCCCGGGCTTGGATAGGAACTGGCGGCGGCGGCGGCGGCGGCGTTCGTTCCCTGCGCGTTTGGGCGCCTGTCGGGCACCCATCTGTGGCCGGCGTTGGAGGCGCGGTGGCAGCTTCGTGCTCCTCCCGGCGACTCGTGATGCGCGAGGAAAGGACAGGCGTTTTGTGTTGTTTCTGAGTGGAAGAATTTTGTGAAGAAAGTCGCAGGGAACGGGTGTGGAGAGGGGGAAGATGTAGCCAGCCCGGAATAGAATGTTCTAAGAAGTGCTCTCCGCTCTCCTTGCCCCAGGCGTAGTTTTCTTAACACCGCTGAATTCCCCATCCAGACCTTGAAGCTTTGTTTTGAACTTGAGTTAGTAAGGTCGTGTGCATGTCCTCTGGGAAAAAGAACACAGGCTGGCCAGGAGGTTTTAGAAATCCACGTTTTCAGTCCTTAGACGCTTTGGTGAGTTCTCTGTGTGCTCATCCCACGGCGTAGAAAGCGAAACGTCCTTGAGCTGAGCGGTGGAGGAGTCCCTTCCTGTCCCTTAGGATGTATGCAGTTCAAGTAGAACCTTACTGAGTTTGCGGGGAAGCGGGGCGTGTTAGAACGAAACTCGGTGTTGTGAATGTACCAACTTCAAGTGGTTCTTCTTCCCTGCTTCCATGTCTGTAGGGACTTTATTGTCAGAACATATCGGTTCGCCTTCATAGGTGTGTACACGCTCTTAGGTCCGTTGTAAAGCAGGATTTTTCCGCCTACTACAGGATGGGAAAATACGATGGTCAGTCGTAGAGGAGGAATTCGTTGTTCCTAGGAAAAGTGATTCGGCAGCCTTGGCCATCGTACTTTTGTTGGTGTTTGTAACAGAGTTAGGGAGGAGTGTAGCTGACTGTCCTACCAAAACTTAATTTTGTCGCACGTCAGCAAGAGAGACTAGGGATGTAACCAACAATAGGAATTCGCTACCGGTTTGTGAATGGTGCTCTTCGTTTTTAGGTTTTAGGTGTTGTTGTTGTTGTTTGGGTGGTGGTGGTGTTTGCTTGCTTGTTTTTGGTTTGTTTTGTTTTTGAGACAGGGTTTTTTTTTGTGTAGTCCTGGCTGTCCTGGAACTAGCTCTGTAGAACAGACTGGCCTCGAAATCACAAAAGATACACCAGATTCTGGCTCTTGAGTGCTGGGATTAAAGGCGTGTGTTAACCACCGCTGCTTCCAAGGATGGTGCTCTCCTAAAGAGAAATCAGAAATTTTCCAGGGAAAACTGTACTTTCCTGCTGTCTAATCCCGACCAATTTTTGCTGAGTAGGGAAAGTATTTTTTGTCAGCCACCTACATAGAGTACATGTACACTACATAGGGCAGATGGAAGCCAAGTTCAATTTGTATGGGGAGGGGCAGGTATCCTTTTCTGAAATGCCTGCAGCCACATATGTTAAGCTGTTTTTTTTTCTTTCCTTCGGATTTTGGAATACTGTAGACTGTGCAGGTTGATCATCCCAGTCTAAACTCCAGACTGCTCCTAAATGTGCAAGTTTCAGGCCCCAGTGTGACCTGGGTGTGAGAAGTGAGAGTTACACAGATCCTCTATTACCATTTAAATTTTTTAAATTTCATTTTTACTGAGTATGTGAGTGAATATATGTGTGTGCAGATATTCATGTGTGTTTGTGTACCTGTGTGTGTGCATGCATGTGGAGGCCAAGGTTGATATCAGGTGTCCTCCTTATTTACTGTCCACCCTATTTTTTGAGACAGACTCTGACTGAATCTGGAGTTCACCCATTCTTCCAGTCTGGCTATCTAACAAGCCCAGAAATCCTCCTGTCTCTGCCACCCTAGTGATGGGATTACAGATGCATACTATGAGCCAAACTTAATATGGGTTCTGGGGATTGAACTCTAGTCCTCATGATGATATGGCAAGCATTTTACCTGCTGAATCATCTCCCCAGCCCCACTTGTTATCTTTATGGTAAAAAGTGGTTTGAATTGATAGCTCTCTTCAGGAGGTCAAAGATGGCTTCCTCAAGGCAACACTGCAGTTTGGGAAGAGTGCTTAAAAGACAGAAGGTAAAAAGGACAAGAGTCCTGTTTAACTAACTAGCTTAATGAGGAAGCCATATCAACCATTGTAGAAAAGAGAAAATACCTTTTGTGTTTAGCAAAATAAATTTTCATGTTACATTCCCTGGCAGATTGCTATGTAGACCCTTCTGAAACCGACTTTGGCAGTTTTGATCTGTTGTCTTTAACTTGATTTTTTTTCAGCTCTGCTAAAAGCCACTCTTCCCCTCTCTAGGTCAGCACTCTTTCAAAGCAGCACCCCCAAATACAGGGAAACACACAAGTCCCCTGAGGCCTAGAGGGAGATGTGTCCAAGTGTGTACATGCATATAGAGGCAAGAGGTCACTTCTGTATCATTCCACGGGAGCTGTCCACCTTGTTTTATGAAATAGTCTCATTGGGACCTGGAACAGCAAGCTCCAGGGATCCTCCTGTCTCCACTTCCATTGGGATTCTAAGCAGTACCATCATGACTAGCCTTTCCCAGGTATTCTGGGGTTTGGACTAGAAAATAGCAAGCACTTTCTAGACAGCTATCTCCCCAGACCCTAGCCTCCCTCCCCCAAATCTTATTAGCTAATTTCCCTCAAGCAGTAGATGCCTCTCTCTTTTTTTTAAAGATTTTGTTGTTGTTGTTGTGTGTGAGTTTTGCCAGAAGAGGGTATCATTTCCTGGAATTGGAGCTATAGACAGTTGTGAACCACCACATGGATATTAGGAATCCATCTCCTCTCTCTGGAAGAGCAGCCGCTGTTCTTAACCACTGAGTCATCTCTCCAGCCCAGATCCTTTTTGAACATCCTTGTCACTGTTTCTGTATTTACTAATAGTACTTCATGTATATTTTATTTCATGTATGCTTTTTCTTATTCCTTTACCAAATTATAAAGTTGTGGGGATAAGTATTAAATCCTTGCACTGTATCTTGTCTTTTAGGAAATAATTTCTTAAATATATACAAAGAAGGTCTATCTCTGGTAAATTAAGAGAGTTTTACTTTATAGACAGATGAGAGCCTGCATTTCTAATAAGCAGATTGCAGGTGATCAGTTCTAAATAAGTGTTCATGTCTCAGCGTCTTCCATTCCCCTTCACTTCCATGTTGTACTACACTGGCCCCCCTGATGCCAACTCTGCTTCTTCAGATCCTCTCCTCTGGCCCTCCTCACTGCACTCTGCCTCCAGCCTCCAAGTAGCCATGATAGAACAATGTGTAACCCACCTTTATTTCACATTTTAACTTAAATTTAAAGTGTAAATACTTAACTTGATCTAGTGAAACACCCCTGTATTCCCAGCACTTTGGAGGAAGAGGGAGGAGGAGGAGCTCTAGGCTAGCCTAGGCTGTATAACAAGTTGCAGGCCAGCCTGAACCACATAGTGATATTCTGTCCTTTAAAAACTTATTATCTGGCCTGGAGAGATGACCCACCAGGTAGTCACCTGCCATCAAACCCAGTGACCTGAGTACAATCCCCAGTACCTACGTGGTGAAAGGAGAGAACCAACTACCTCAGGTTTTCTTGACCTTCCTAAGCTGCCCTTGGCACATGTGTCAAGAAGCTATTAAGAGACTGGCAGTAGGCTGATCTGAGTAATCCCTAAACTCTGATAGGTCCTCTTGCTCCCTAACCCTGAGTGCATTGCCTCCTGGGGTGGAAGAGGCTTGGTTTGCTGACTTGTGTTGCATGAAATACTATTCTTTTAGTAGCTTTATTTTGTATGATTAAACTACAGCCAAAGACCAAGTTCAAATTCCTGAAAAATATATGAAAATACTAGAAACCTAAATAGTATCAAATGCAAACTCTATACTATATGAATATATCATAATGAAACCACAGTGTATATCCCTAGCTTGCGCATAAAAGCCCAACATGGTGGCTCATGTCTAACCCTAAGCCTGGGCAGTTGGGGAGGTGGAGACATGCTGTCCTTGGAGTTCACTGACCAGCCAATCTATGAGCCTTGGGATCATCAAGAAATAATGTGGAAATGGGGCTGGAGAGATGGATGGCCCAGCAGTTAAGACCACTTGTAGCTCTTGGAGAGACACCCACATCGGTCAGGTAGCTCACAACCACCTGAAAGTCCAGCTCCTGGAGAACCCACGCCCTCTTCTGACCTCTGCATTTACCCCTCACACACATACAGGGATGTACACATATACCTAAGTAAAAATACATAGTTAAGAAAATGAGCTGGATTGTAAAAAAAAAAAAAAAAAAAGAAAATGAGCTGAAGGTAGTAGAGGAAGACACCCAGCGTCCTCACACACACACACACACACACACACACACTCACACTCTGAACTTTAGGGAGACAGAAAAGAGAAGTCTTGTCGGTGCAGTAGTTAGAAAACAATCGAAGAGCTAACTGTTGGGTTGGCCTTATGTAAGTGGTAGTCAGGTGACATCTGTTAACGATCACTGCTTAGTTATTTGGTGGAACTTTGACTTCTGGAGTCAGCGTGTTAAATCATAATGACTTCCCAAGGTTTTCTGTGTTTGTGATGCTGGATCCACCTTAGATGCCTGTGTAGAGTATATGCTTAGGACTTAAAGTTTGCTTTGTGGGGAGAATTCTTGGTTCTGACAAGCTTTAGAGCCAGCAGAACTATGTTTGGGTCTTGAATCTGCTGCTTAACTTGCTGTGTGACCCTGGGCAAATGATTTCACTGTTTTCTCAGCAGGAAAATAAAGAGAGTAGTTAGTTGTGAGGCATGTAGACAGTGTGTCACTCCATCCCTAGTAGACTTTGAGTGACTGTCTCCAATGATTCCTCTTTACTGACACACCCCCACCCCACATCGACCCCTGGCATCCGCAAGATTTACTATAAGCAGAGCTTTTTAATTTAGACAAGGTAGGGTGTTTCTCCAAGAGACTTTCAAAATAAAGCTTTAAGTTTGAGCTAATGGAAATCAGATTTGTATTGCTCTGCAAAAAAAGGGTGTCAGAACTGTTCATAACTAACTTCATGAATCTGATGTTGAGCTCAGACAAACCACAAGAATGTAAAGTGGTAGGAGTCAGCCATGATTTTTTTTCAGCATTTACACTGAAAAATGTATAGTTTAGTTTCAAGTAAAAAGTGAAGAGTGATGTCATGCCTGCATTTCATGAAGAAGCTAGCCTTATTTGTAGACATAACTGTTCATTAGAAGCTGACCTTCTCTTTCACATGTTCATAACTCCACTCAGCTTTATTTGTTCATTTAGCCAGTATTAGCCACAAAAGTTGTTAGGATAAAAGTTGATGGTGGATATTTATTAGTTACTCTCTCTGCCTGGTATGAAGTAAGTACAGCACTCAGTGCTTACCCTGGCAGAGTGGCCCCCACTATGTCTACGTGTGGTATCAAGATGATAGTTTAGGGAACTTTATTCTTATTGAAGTTGTATTTGTATGTCCATACCGAAGTCTTACTCTGTATTTCTTGCCATTTAGTAAAAGCACCAGTTGGGAGGTAGCCCTATACGGAGGAATGGGAACTTATTGAGACTTTACATTGAGTGTCTGAGAGCACTTCATTTTTTTTTTTTTAAGATTTATTTATTTATTATGTGTACAGCATGTATGACCAGAAGAGGGCACCAGACCTTATTACAGATGGTTGTGAGCCACCATGTGGTTGCTGGGAATTGAACTCAGGACCTCTGGAAGAGCAGTCAGTGCTCTTAACCTCTAAGCCATTTCTCCAGCCCCCTCATTTTTTTTTTTTTTTATTTGACAGAAACGTGCGCTTTGGGTGTATTCTCATGTGCAATGAATGTTAGACTTTGTCTTAATCCAAAATTGGCTGGCTTATACAAAAGTTGCTGCTTTCACATTGTAAAATATAAGATGAAAATAAACTTTGTTAAAATTACTAAATTTTTCTTTCCTTTCACCTTCCTCAAGACACTAGTTAGAACAGGTCCTTGAAGGTGGGAGGCAGGGTAAGACAAGGTTTTGCTGTGTAACTTAGGCCGTCTTCAAACTTGCCACCTTCTTGCCTCAGCCCCCTGAATGCTAGCATTATAAGTAAGTACCACTATGCCTGGCCACAGGTATCTTTTAGTAAATGTAACACAACTGTGAGAATTCAACAATATCTTTCTCCATTTTTAAAGCATGACACAATCACAAGGCCTGGTGATACCTATAATGATAGGATGGTGAGACGTTAACAACTTACTTGCTTTTTTCCATTTAAAATTAGAGTCATATTTCTCTCTTTCCTAATTGACAAATAAAATGGACTGGGCAGTGGAGAATAGGGAAATAGAGTAAAAGGTCATGTCTAATTTAAGTAGTCAAACTATGGTGTTTGTAAACATTTGGAGCATTGGTGCATGTGTGGTGAACCTCCCCATAGGTTCTAGTCCTTCAGTATTGTTCTTTTTGTCTTCCTTCCAGCATAAAGATGCCTACCAAGTGATACTGGATGGCGTGAAAGGCGGCACCAAGGAGAAGCGATTAGCAGCTCAGTTTATTCCAAAATTCTTTAAGCATTTTCCAGAACTGGCTGATTCTGCAATCAATGCACAGTTAGACCTCTGTGAGGATGAAGATGTGTCAGTAAGTTTATGATTGACTCTTCACTAAGCTTTCTAGTATTTCTATGTAAAAGTAACATGATCAAAGTAGTAATCAGTCCATAATCGGCTTCTATGGTATGATCACTTTGTACCAGATCCAAAGTGAACGCTACACCTGAGAAAATAAGTTTTATTTTATTAAGTTTATTATCTTGTATTTATGAAAAATGCATGGAATAACAAATTTTTTGTTTTGCTTTTCTTACCCATTGCTAAAAATGGAATGTAGCTCACATCTTTTCTTAGATTGTTATTCATATTTCATACTAAATTAGTTAATGCAATTTTTGTACTTGTAGATGTACTATATGTGTCATAAAAAATAGATGGTCACTGTAATACTTGTAACTGATTACCGATTAAGAATCAATCCTTTCCCAAGGTTTAGATTAACCATTAGCATTTCTAGTTATTGGTGCAGGCTTCTAAATTTTTTCAGCTATTAGCTCTTAACTTTCTAAGTCAGTGAATCACTAGCATTTCATGCAGAGTATGCTAGATGTAAACTATCATTTTTAATGTAAGAGCTAGTAAATTGGAATCTTTTTTAATTCAAATTGTAAGTAGTCAATGTAGAAGACTCTAAAATGACTCCTGGTGAGGGCTCTGTCATGGTTGCTGTTCTAAAGGAACAGTGTATGAACATGCCTAAAAGTCACACCCCAACAGTTGTATGTAAGTCACATACAAACATGTTTGTTATCGCTGAACTCTCTGCTCCAGTCCAGAACGTACTATCCATTTCAGCTGCATTTGTCTTATTTGTTCTATGAAACCTGAGTAGTAAATTGAGCCAGTGGCACATATCTTAGTCCCAGCTACTCAGAAGGCTGAGAAAGAGGATCACTTGAGCCAAGAAGTTTATGGCCAGTCTTGGCAACATAACAATATCATGTCTCAAAAACAAACGGGCAAATTTTTCTAAAAACAGTTACAAACAGGAGAGATGGCTCAGCAATTAAGAGCACCTGTTGCCCCTCTAAAGGGCCTATCCCAGCACTCAAAGGCACTCACAGTGGCCTCTAACTTCATTTCCAATGGATCCAGTGCCCTCTTCTGTCCTTCTGTCCTTTCTGGGCACAAGCACATAGATAGTGCATACACACAGAGACATAAATAAAAGTAAACATCTTTTAATAGTAAACTCATCTTATGGGTGGTGAGATGTCTGAACAGGTAAGGATACTTTCTACATAAGCCTAAGTTCAGTCCTCAGAACTCATGTGAAGTGGAAAGAATGAACCAACTTCACAGAGTTGTCTTCTGACCTCCACATGCGCATTGTGCCATGTGTACCCCCCTCCACGTCATTCACAAATGGACACAATAATGGAAAAAGCATCTTATACTTTACAATTCATGTGCTCCTTACTATGGTTTCTTCTGGTTTTAGTTGTCTTAAAGGCTGAGTTTGTCATTGCTTTATGATGATGCCGTTTAGTTACTTTTTGTTTGTTTGAAATCATGCCCAGATACGACGCCAAGCAATTAAAGAACTGCCTCAGTTTGCAACAGGAGAAAATCTTCCAAGAGTAGCAGATATACTGACCCAGCTTCTGCAGACAGGTAAGAGGTTCTTTTGCCCCCTTTAATCTAAATATTCTCTCTGGAATACAGGCTGTTCTTGACTTTGTATGGGTGCTGAGCAGGAAGGTCCTGCCTCTGGCAGATGATATTGAACCTCTTTCATTCAGCATTGTGAAACTCAGTGGCTTCTGAGTCTGTTACTTGTTTTGTTTTAAATTCTGTTTATAAAAGAATAATATTATCATTTCGCCTGTTTGCTGTGGGCATGCCAGGTGATGTTCTCTGCCCCTGTGAAGGAATGATGTGTCCCTGATCCTGTAAAAGAGTTGCTTAGGCGAAGGTTGCTTGGTCCATCATCTGTGTGGAAACTGTTGACTCTCAACTTTGAAAATGAAGGTGGTATTTTAAATTTATCCTTTATTCATCCATGCTACTGTTTCTCTCCCCAGATGACTCTGCAGAATTTAATTTGGTGAACAATGCGCTATTAAGTATATTTAAGATGGATGCAAAAGGTAAAGCCACTTCTCTTTCTTAATCATGCTTCAAGTCTTAGGAAACCAGGAAGCTTGGGCTTTACTCAGATCTTTTTCATAAAAGTGATGACCAAATCTGAAAGGGGGCCTCCCAACTTAGATGTATGTGACTTTCCAATAGAAGTAATTGTAAAAAAACAGTTCAGATTTCCCCTCGAAATGTGTTGGAAAAGTTCCTTTTGCAGCTTTAAAGAATTATTCCAAAATACCTGAACTTTGATTGTGGTTGAAAAGAAATTCCAGTCATATTCAAGCTGAATATGGGAGCAAACCATGTGACCTTTCTGGGTTGGCTGTAAAGATTTCAGACTGACTTTAGCCAGCATCGATGGTAGTCAGGGTGTTTATTCACTTTTTTGAACAATGATGAAGTAAATGTAAACGCTTCACACTTTACAGTTGCTTTTTTTCTTTACAGGAACATTAGGTGGCTTATTTAGCCAGATTCTTCAAGGAGAAGACATTGTTAGAGAAAGAGCAATTAAATTCCTGTCCACAAAACTCAAGACACTCCCAGATGAAGTGTTAACTAAGGAAGTTGAGGAACTCATACTCACTGAATCCAAAAAGGTCTGTTGGAGTCACCTTGAGATTCATTGATGGTCATCAACGTTGGGTGTGGATGAGTGATGTCTCCCACTGCAGAAGTGTTCTGTACCTTGTATTCACCACTCCTTCATTCACCTTAATGACTCACACTGATTTAAAGGGTGTGATCATGTTGAAATCCTTGGTGTTATCCTAATTGCTCCTTATTCTTCTTTCCATCTTGAGATGGTCCAAGTATCTGGAGCATTTCAAAATAAAATAGCACAATGAAATATTAGAAAAAATAAATTTTTTCTCACTGCCTATAAAGTATTTCAAGAGTATGAAAGCATTTGTATTAGCTGCTTACATTGTTGCTATGGCAAAATTGTCTTAGTTGGGGATTTTATTGCTGTGAAAAGACACCATGACCATGGCAACTCTTATAAAGGAAACATTTAGTTGGGATGGCTCGCTTACAGTTTCAGAGAGGTTTGGTCCATTATCATCATGGTGGGGAGCATGGTGGCATGCAGGCAGACATGGTGCTGGAGCTGACAGTCTTACATCTTACAGGCAATAGGAAGTCAACTGAGGGAAGCTTGAGCAAAAGAGACTTCAAAGCCCACCCCCAACGGTGAGACATTCCCTCCAGCAAAGCCACACTTCTTAATAGTGCCACTCCCTGTAAGATTATAGGGGCCAATTACATTCGAACTCCCACACCAGACAAAAGCAACTTGAGGAAAGAAAGGCTTATTTTAGCCCACAGTTGCAAGCAGTCGAGACATTGCAGCCACAGTTAGGAAACAGAAAGAAATGCTGTACTCGGCTAGTTGTCTCCTTTTTATCCGACAGTTCCACACCCCAGCATGTGGAATGGTGCCACCCACATTAATTAATGTACGTTACATAAGCATGCCCAGAGGCTAGCCTCATCTATGTAAGTTCAGAGGCATGCCCACGGGTTTGTCTCCTAGGTCATTAACCATCACACGGTATTTATTTGTCTTCTGTCAGCATCTAGCATAGTTAGAAAGGCTAGGATTGCCCAAGGGTGTCAAAATTGTCTCTTCACCCACTTTTATAGTGCCAAATTTGGAAAAGAGTTTTAAAGAAAATTCAGCCCTATCTCTGTCAAGACTTTACCCACTAAGAAGATTCTTCAGTAAGAAAGAAGTAGCTGTCCTGCTGAGAAGGTGGTAATATTCTTACATACCACGTCTTATATAGTCATCTGAGTAGAACTGCACGCTTTAGTCAGTGAGTATATCTCTATCAGCCCACTGATACAGAGGACTTAAAATAAGAATGTCACGTATCCTGTGGACAGTTGCCAGATGATGTGAGCAATGCTGCTTAGTCATAGGAAACTACTGACTTACCAATTTGCTACAGAATTTCTCAATCATTTCTGTCACTCTCCACCTTCATCAAGATTCTTTTATGTATTTTTCTTACTCATTTTGGAAATTTTAATCTGAGATATACTGTAAATTTGTGAAGTTCTGTGTGTTGGCAGTGATTTGTATGTTTAAAAAAAAAAAAGGCAAAATTTCTTAAAATAATTTTGGTCCTCTTCGAAAATACAGCTTTCCCTTCTCTGGACTTAAAACTTATCCTTTTGTCATAAAGAAGCATTAGGATGTAACTGAAATAATGCCACTCTCATTATTGATCTCTCTCTCTCTCTCTCTCTCTCTCTCTCTCTCTCTCTCTCTCTCTCTCTTTCTCTCTCTCTCTTCCATTCAACTCTTAAAAATGCTGTTTTTCTAAATTGTCTTTTTTTTTTCCCCCAGGTCCTGGAAGATGTGACTGGTGAAGAATTTGTTCTATTCATGAAGATACTGTCTGGGTTAAAAAGCTTACAGACAGTGAGTGGAAGACAGCAGCTAGTAGAGCTGGTGGCGGAACAGGCTGACCTGGAGCAGACCTTCAGCCCCTCAGACCCTGACTGTGTGGACAGGCTCCTGCAGTGCACACGGCAGGCCGTGCCGCTCTTCTCTGTGAGCTCTTTGTTCCTACCTGGCTGACACTTGGGTTACTCTTCACTCTGTCCATATTTACTTGAACACTCCTCAGACCTGCCCATGAAAGCATTCTTAGTGGGGCAAATAGAAGCAGAATGGCATTGTAAGAACCCAAGGCAGCAAGAAATTTCTCTGAGGGCTTGCTTAGAAACTTTAAAAATTGTGAGAACTTGCATTCTGTCTCGAGCTTTGTTTCCCCTGCATGAGTTTTCTGAGATGTGTATGCCTAGTTTGAAAAACATAAAGGATCTGTCCTTGTTGGGAAATGTGCAATGTGCAAGTCCAGCACTAAAATGCCACTAAACTAAACTTTAGAGTCAAAAGGGACATGTATCCAAGATGTATCCATGTCCGGTGTTCCAGGTGACCTTGCAGGGAAAGTTACATAATGGTGGGATACTTAGTTCATACTTTGAATGCCAGTTGTCTACTGTAATCTTTGAAAAAAGACTTTGTGACTTTTGTTTTTTGCATTGTTTTTACAGAAAAATGTCCATTCTACAAGGTTTGTGACATATTTCTGTGAGCAAGTTCTCCCTAATCTCAGTACCCTGACTACCCCAGTGGAGGGTCTTGATATACAGTTGGAGGTAAGAGAATACTCCTGCTTTCAGCACTGAAAAGCTAGTCCCATATTTCAGCAGAAATGTGAATCACTGATTGAGATCTGACTTCCAAGGGGATAATTGCAACGTCTGGCAGTGGCTAGCCTGTAATCTTCTAGGCCAGAATTAATTGCATAGGAGTTATTATGGATTCCATTATAGCTGCTTCAGTGGGACAGCGCTGCCTGTAGATGTCATTGTACAGAGCTTATACCTTTGAGGCCTAAATATTTTTAAATAGGTACTTAATTCATGATCGTTTGCTATATAGATTTAAACTAGATTGGGCCAGTGGGGTGATTGAAGAAGGTAAAGGTATTTGCCACCAAGCCTGATGACCTAAGTTTGGTCCCGAGAAACCACATAATGGAGGGAGAGAACTGACTGCTGTAAGTTGGCCTCTGACCTCCACATGTGCAGGCACATGCCCATACATACAAATTCACAAGTGTTAAAAATAAACTAGATTAACACCATGTGTCCTTTACCCCTGTCCTCCAATGGAGTGAACACCCTCCTGCATTGGATCTCAGTTGTAGCAGACACAGTTTTCATGGTATCTATCGTGTTTCATGTGTTTATAGTATCACTCCTCCCACATTTAACTTGACTCAATCTTATATCACAACCCGTGGCACAGAGCTAGACTCTGAACAGCCATAATGGTAGTGAATTGACTGAAACCTGGAAATGCAGAATGCCATTTCCTTCAACAACCTCTAGCACAGGGATTATGGGTATATATCACAGTAGTTTGCTTCAGATGTCCTAGACTAAGCTGATCAGTCTGAAATTGGATGGAGCAGGATAAACTTTCCAGATATTGGCAGTTACTAGCATTTTCAGATATTACCTAGACCTAACTTCAATAGTAAGAACCCACCTTACATTTGAATGACTAGTTGCTGTTGCAGATTCTGAGTAGTGCTTGGTAGGTTAATGTATTTATCGTTTTTCAGTATACTGTCACTGTGAGCCTATAGTAGAAAGAGTCATGTGTATTTTCCTTGCTTCTCACAGCTGTATTGGGAATTAGGGGACCTAGATTTGCTCAGATACAGACCCTATGACTGTACGAAGGGCCTTTACTTTCTTTAATGTTTAACTGTAAGATTTCAACTCCAGGGAATTTTCCAGTTCTAACATGATTCTGAAAAGCATAATGGAAAATAAGCACAGTCCTTTAAAGCTATATAGAATTACTCTCATTCCCTAGCCCATGCTCATCTAAAAATAGTTCTGATGGTAAATTTGTATGTTTCAGGTATTAAAATTGTTGGCAGAGATGAGTTCATTTTGTGGTGACATGGAAAAACTAGAAACAAATTTAAGAAAACTCTTTGATAAGTTACTGGTAAGAGCTTTCTTCTTTCCTTGTGTGTGGTCAGTTTATAACCTTAAAGACTTAATTTACTATTAATTTCTACATGGTAAAAACTATCTTTTGAAATGTGCCTTGAACACTAATTCTAGTGATTTCTACTAATTCCATTGTAAGGAAGTCTCTGGATCTTGGTATTTCCTGTTGCTGGTGCTTTGCATAAAGATCACCCACGATTTAGAGACTAGATCATCCCCTTGCTCCCAAATCAAAATGATATGTCCGTGAAAAAGAAAGTATCACTAACTCTTCTGATTGTGCTAAATAGGCTACGAACTGTAGTTGGCTCGCAAAGGCCATTTGTTCCAGGCCACCAACTAGGTAGCTGCCTAAGGTCAAGTAGCTTTAGCAACCAGGAAATAGTCTGTCCTTTAAGTTGTAATTGTGGAGAAAATAAGCCATCTGATAAAAATCATTATCAGCATCATGGAGGGACTCTTGTATTTGATGTGAGCAGTTACATAAATGGCCAGAGGTAAGCTTTAGGCCCTTGGCATATATGGAGACATTCAACATCTGCTGCTTCCAGATTTGCAATATCTACTGGGGTGTTGTAAGGCTGACATTGATTGTCTCTGTCACACTTTCAGTGTAAAGAGTTGGACTTTAGAAAATATTCTTTTAATTCATTAAGAATATAGTCTTGGTGTACAATGAATCTTGTCTCTGAACTTTGGTGCCTAGTGCCTAAAGTTACCTATTTCTACTTTTGTTATTAATGGTGGCATCTGTACCAGGTTAATAATGATAGCTGATGTGCCAGAACGTTGGTCCAATAGATCCTAGCTTAATTTCTAGTCTGTTTTTAGTGTTCTATGTCTTAAAACCATGCCTTAGGATTACATGGGTATCTCTCAAAACGAGAGTCTTTAGAACAGACTGCAAACATCTGGTCTCTCCTGTCTTAGGAGTATATGCCTCTCCCTCCAGAAGAAGCAGAAAATGGAGAGAACGCTGGTAATGAAGAGCCCAAGCTGCAGTTCAGTTATGTGGAATGTCTATTGTACAGTTTTCACCAGTTGGGCCGAAAACTTCCAGATTTCTTAACAGCCAAATTGAATGCAGAAAAGCTCAAAGATTTCAAAATCAGGTAATATAGGATGGAAGTTGGTTTAGTCCTTGGCAAAGTGAAAAATCTTGAAGCTCCCTGAGTTTTGATTTTGTTTTACAATATCTGATTCTCTCTACTCTTCCATATATAGTGGAGTAGGATGAGAAGTCCAGAATACACGAATTTGTGAATATTTCACAGATGTGACGTCACAGATCCCTGGTGGGAAGTGAACTTTCAAATAAATGAACTCTGGTTCTTCTCACTTGCCATATGACCTTGGGCAAGGTCCCCAACCACTTTACTCCTTAGACTTTTCTCATGTGTTAAATTTGAATGACAGTAGGGATATGAGTAAGCTTGTACAATGCCCAGCACCTAGTAGGTATCAGTTATCTGTATCCACAGTTGATAATATTCAACGGTGTTGAAAGTGCTAGAAAAACTAGTGATTGCTTTTCATAAGGATATTTTATATAGAATCATTCCATTAATAAACCCACTTCTTACATTTTGCATGCTTGAGCCACACTGTCACCTGTTAACTAGCCTCTGCTTTTCCACTGGGAGTGGTTTACTATTTGATTAGACAGGCATCATGGCCCACAGACTCTGTATAGTGTCAGCCACTTAGGAAGCTGAGGTACAGTAATCACTTGGGCACAGTAGAGGCCAGCCTGGACAGCATAGCAAGAATCCATCTCAGCTTCAAATGCTTGATGAAATACTTGATCAGAAACAAACAACTTAAGAAAGTACTCTTTTTGTTGTTGTTCATGTAGCCATTTTTGCACTGTGGATTGCTCTGCCACAGTAGATTATTTAAGAACAAAATTGAAATGATGAATTACTGATTAACTACTTTGTCATTTAGGTTGCAATACTTTGCACGGGGCCTTCAGGTTTATATCAGACAACTCCGATTGGCTCTCCAGGGTAAAACAGGCGAGGCCTTAAAAACCGAGGAGGTAAGAATGCTGGCTGAGGACACAAAAGTTGTCAGTCCCATGACAGACTTTGTGGGTTCTTGCTGGGATTTGGGTCTCCCTGATCTTCATAATAAAACCAGGCTTCATCCCACTCCTAATGAAATCTTTCCAGTTTTCATTACAACTTTCTGTAATTTATACTGGTTTCCTTTAAGACGATTCTTACATAACTCCATGCCCTGTGTGTTTTTCAGGTAAATTGCAGGTCATCCTTTTTCTAGCCTGCCAAAAGAAGCTTGGTTGATTTGCTTAGGGTAGAGAAATGGGGAGGGGAGGGTGGTATTTTCTATAGCTTTAAACCTCTACCTAGAAATTCTCTACCTAGAGATGTGAATCTGGTTGCATGCAGAATGGGATGTACACACAGAACTTACTGAATTTTAATTTTCTGTTCCTTTTACAGAACAAGATAAAAGTTGTTGCATTGAAAATAACAAATAATATCAATGTTTTAATCAAGGTGAGTCCCTTTTTCCCTAACCTGCCAGCTAACTAGAGTCAGTACAAGAGGTTTTTCATGTATCTGCAGTAGGGAGATGTAATTTCATTCCGAATATTTGCCTTCCTAATTTTAAAACTTTATACTTCTTTGTAATAATAAGTGACATTTTTCGAGCTAACCTGAATTTAAAAGGTTGGAAAAGCTGAGAGAGCCATGCAAAGCAGTCAGCAGATAGAAGTAGACTTAGACATTTCAGTAGCTTAAACTTCTGGTGGGGTTTTTGTTTTGTTTTTGAAGACTTGACTTTTTTTTAGAACGATATATTCTTATTTTGTATGCGTTAGTGTTTTGTCTACATGGCATCTGTGTTAGGGTGTTGGATCCCCTGGAACTGGAGTTATAGATAGTTGTGAGTCACCATGTGGTTGCTGGGAATTGAACCCAGGTTCTCTGGAAGAGCAGCCAGTGCTTTTAACCACTGAACCATCTCTGCAGCCCTCAGTGGTCTTAATGTTATTGGGTCTTTTTGAGTCATCAGTGAAACTTTGCACTGCTTGTTGTAGTAATGGGCAGGTGCTATATAGTACATGAAATGTTTTCCTGTGGTCTTCTTTGTAAACTTGGCTGTGTAATTCATTCAGACTTTCAGTGCTGCAGGCTAGTGGTACCTTGCCTTTAATTTATAATTACCTTCCTCTTTTTTTCCTAAATATCTACTAGTGTATTTATAACACCCAGAGATAAAGCATAAAGTGAGGACAAGTATGACTTCAGCTAATGTAGTAGAAATGCTATGGAGAAAGTGCTTTTTATCCAAAAGAACAGGAAAGCATTGCAGGGACAATGATAGTGTCATTAGGCATGGAGCATGAGTGTCATGTTTCCAGGATAAGAAGTGAAAAGGCATTCAAAGCAGAAGTCAGTGAATGTGTGGTGTGCTTTATAATTCCACTACTCAAGAGGTAGAGGCAGGAGGATCACAAGTTCAAGACAGGCCTAGTCAACAAAGTGAAACCACCCTACGTCAATACCCCACCCTAACTTACAACTGCTAATGAAAGCTTTATAATATATATCTGCTACCATTTGTTACCTGGGTTTGATCAGTGCCCATGTAAAAAGCCAGGGAAAGTGCACATGCATGTAATACCAGTACTGGGGAGGCAGAGATGGGAGGATCCCTGGAACTTTCTGGCAAACCAGTCTGGTTCAGTGAAAGGCCCTGTCTCAAAAGCTAAAGTGAAAAGTACTCAAGAAGACCCCTGGTATCAGTGTGAGGCCTCCATGTACATGCACACATGTGCACAAACACCAGCACAAAAACAGTAATAACTGTTTTCTGTAAATTGAAGCACCCTAGTGACTGTCTTTGTGCAAAATGGAAGCTATTTTGTTTGGCTTTATTCATTGAAGTTGGTAAATACTGATGTCTCATCCTAAAATTTGAAGATACTTTGAAGGAAAAAAAAAATAGCTGAGGTTTAATTTAAATCACAAACAAAATTATATTAGTGGAAGTAATCCCTGTCCTTTACAATAAAATTGCCCCCAGTTTCTTTTCTTACACAGTTTTCTCTGGGCCTCTGATTAGCTGCCAGCACAAGAAATGAAAGCTTTTCCTCCTCACTTTTTTGGTTTTTCAAGACAGGGTTTCTCTGTGTGGCCCTGGCTGTCTGGAACTTACTATATAGACCAGTCTGGCCTTGAACTCAGATCCTCCTGCCCCTACCTCCCGAGTGCTGGGTTTGAAGGCATGTGCAGCCACCATCTGGCTCACATTTTCTTTTCAATGTGAAGGATTAAACCCAGGGCCTTGCATAAAATGAATCTTTAAGATGTGTCTTCCTGCCTCTTTCCTCGCCCACTACTCCCTGACAGCACATCCATTAGAAGTCTTGGCTGATTCTGGTTTTTGTCTCTCCAGGATCTCTTCCACATTCCTCCTTCTTATAAGAGCACAGTAACATTGTCCTGGAAACCTGTACAGAAAGTCGAGATTGGGTAAGAAATGGGATATTAAAGAGATTCGAGAGAACAAATTCTGAGAACATTGATAGCGAAATGATTCTCAGGAAAGTGTTAAAATATGGTGGTTAAGGTACAAGTCTCATTCCAGGGCTTTACAAAACAGGGTAGTAGTGTACAACCCTGGAGTGCTTGGTTACGTTTGCATTCTTGTCACATTACTAGACTTTGTCGACAGCTTTGCACAGTGAGGACTGCATGTGTCTTTGAAACCACATATTTCAAGTAATTTAAAGACTTGTAAATGCCCTTGGTAATTCCTGTATAACTGTATAACCCAGCAATTACTGTGATGGCATGGACCTTTATCTACTTGCTTTCTGACGTGACTTTCCTCTTTAGCAGATCTTTTACAGCTCACAGACTGATTTAGAACTGTGGTGTAGCTTTTGGCATACTACAGTGCTTTTTAATTGTTGCTTTCCCCACTGTTGCAGGCAAAAGAGAGCCAGTGAAGACACAAGTTCAGGTTCACCACCCAAGAAATCTCCAGGAGGACCAAAAAGGGATGCCCGACAGATTTATAATCCTCCTAGTGGGAAATACAGCAGCAATTTGGGCAACTTTAATTATGGTGAGCGTTTTCGTTTGGGTACAAGCAGTCCAAGAGATTAGGTAGAAAGTGGTACGTGCTTTTAATTGTGAATTATATATAGTACCATAGTTCTGTTAGGTCGCTTTTCTGAGTTAGCCTGGAAAAGGGGGCCACTGGGGAAATAACTATATCCCATTTCTCTATAACTCTTGTGGGCTCACTGAACCAAGCATGTGGCACCTAAGCACTTGAAACGGAAAATATGCCTGCTGTAGTAAGAGGAACCAGCAGAAACAGGAAGTTGTCATGAGCCATTGTGTATACTTTCCAAGAAAGGAAAGACATGACTCTGACAAATGTGGTACAGAGGGTCTCCGGGACTTATCAGCCTGTTGCTGAAAATACTCTGGTTTTCTGTGGCTAGCTGAAAGAGAAGCCATAGAAATGGAGTCAGATGGTGGAGCATTGTGTGGCTAGGAGGATGCTTTGTTAGTTACACTGTCTTCTTTTACCCAAGATGAAATCTTTGTGCCACTGCTTTCTACCCCACTCCCCTTGGCTAGGAGAACTTCCCACCTGTCCATTCTCTCTGAAGGCTCTAGAATTAGTAATAAGTCTGTCTCTTACTGGCTTTTCACCATATAAATCCTTTTTTAAAAGAATGTATGGAGTATAATGACACATACCTATAATCCCAGTGCTCAGGAAAGTGAGGCAGGAGGATCACAAGTTCAAGGCAAGCCTGGGCTGAGTAACAAAACCCTGTATCCAGAGGGATCAGAATGGGCAGAAGTAGCCAGCAGGTTTGAGGTCAGCCTAGATCACTATAGCCTGCGTCTCTATAATAACAACATCAGTAACAATCATAACAATAGCAGCCAAACAGTTGATTGGTTGATTTTGATTGCTAATTGCAGTTAATTCTGCAGTGTTGTTTCTAAGTATATTCTGAGCCGTATTTTACTTACATCAATTTCCGTTTCCAAGTGAGATAATGGTGACATTAAGTAAATTCCTCTACAGTGCCTGAATTTCTCAGTTGACTAGACAGATTGAAGAAAGCCAGCTTTAGATTGAGAAATGAACCCTCTTATGTAAATGAGTTCTTTGTTTGTTTGTTTGGTTTTGGTTTTCAGTTTGCAAGACAGGGTTTCTCTGTATAACAGCTCTGGCTGTCCTGGAACTCACTTTTTAGACCAGGCTGGCCTTGAACTCAGATATCTGCCTGCCTCTGCCTCTGCCTCCCAAGTGCTGGTATTAAAGGCATGTGCCACCACTTCATGGCATTAAATGAATTCTTAAAGACTTACTTAGGGGATATATTGAATGGTATTTATCTAACTGCATATAAATGTGCGTCTCTTTGCTTCTTACCTGAAAAACAGGGATAGTAGAGTTCTTTTGAGCTTCAGGTAAGAATATTTTTGAGAGCATTTTGTAAACAGAAAGGAGTCTTCATTGTTTTATTATATTGGATATTATCTTCTGGTAACTTTTGACTTAATGTGATATCTGTACCAATCTGAAAATCAGCAGTTAGATGCTATGAGAATGTAGCATGAATGAAAGTAGCCATGAGGTTTTGCACAGTATGTAAAAAAAAGTATTCCTCTTCACTTGGGCGGTTACATTCCTACTATGAGTTTCCAGGAAGATTTTTGTCTCATAGAACTCTCTGCCTGATAGAAATTGAAGAACAAATGTAGAAAATGTGACACCTTAGCTTGTATGCCAGTAAACCAGGATGTGATTATATTTTTAATTTTAAAAGCTGCCAAAAAATAAAACAAAATTCAGTCTTAAATAAATAAAAGTGGAGGTGTTATTATTAAAAATGTGGAAGGAAAAAAAACAGATATGGTGGTACACACCTTTAATTCCAGCTCTTGGAAGTCAGGGACAGACAGATCTCTGAGTTCAAGGCCAGCCTGATCTATATAGCAAGTTCCAGAACAGCCAAAGCTACATAATAAAGAGACCCTGTCTCAAAAAAAGAAGTTAATTTTCAACATTAGGGTCACGGTTTGAGCTACTTCAGTAATTTTCATTGTGATTAAAAGGCAAAGTAGCCTGCAAAGCCCCACTGGTGTAGAAAGTAAGGGTTAATTCTGCCAGTGTTGTACACTGCCCTGGGGAGCATGGCTGTGTTCTCACAATGACAGTTTAAAGGGTTTTCTATCACTGATCAGTATCAAATGATAGTTTTTCTTGTCAGGTGTGGTGTTTGGTGCCCACAGATGAGTCACTTGAGCAGAACATATTCAATCACGTTGTTTGTAAGATAGATGCTCATTTGAGTCTCCTTCCTGTTCATGGAGTTTCCCCAATAGGCCAGGAGTACTAGACATCCTACAGTTTGTTATTGCTGCTGTGCTTTTTCTCTACGAGACTTTTCCAGGATCTGGGCATATTCTTAGGCACAATTGAACTTTTTTTTTCCAGCAGTTAGGAATGGAGCTTACAGCATTTGCCTTCTTATGCAAAGCCCTGGCTTTGATCCTCAGAGCACACACACAAAAAAATTTAATAAAAACTTAAAAGTTAAGAGAAACTATAGAAATCATTGGAATAATTGTTAAAATGCTAAATTGTCCTTTAGAATGAAGCTCACCAAAAAAGAAACTTGGGTGGAACCCTGTATGTTAACAGTAGCTGCATTGAGTGAACATCGAAAAGAAATGCTCAACATAGATGACAGACTGTAATGATACTTTTGCACAGAGTTTAACAACTCATATGTAGCTGAACAATGAAAGCAACTCTGTTCTTTGTATTAAAAATGAAATTTTATTGTTTGGATTCCTTTGAAAAGCTAGAAAATTGTTTTGTGCATCCTTCATACCCCAGAAAAAAATTATTGAAAAAATGGAAAGGTTGGTTTTTAATAGTTAATTAATGCCTAGCTAATAATTTTGTGCATTAGTTTGCTAAGTGTACTGATATTTAAAGAAAATTATTTTTGTGGACTAGGTATATGTAGTTTAGTAATGTGGAACTCTTGTCTCCTATGCCAGAGAGAAAGGAAGTGGAGGCAGTGAAGGAAGAATAAAGCTCATGCTCCTTAAATAAGAAGTGAAGGAGTGAGAGCTGGCTACAAGTACAGACCCCACAGTCGCTGCAAATCCACTGTATTACAGAGAAAAATGTTGACCAGACTGGAGAAGTCTAGTTAGCTTTTGTCTCAGAATTGAATTCTTTTTCCTTCTTTGGAAAAAGGGAGATTCATAGAAAATCATCTAATAAGCAATAATGGCAAAAATTTTAAAAATGGATTGTAAAATTGACCTAAAAGGTATTTTTCAAGACACCAAGATTGTGGATCAGAAAGACAATTGCCAGCCTTGATTGCTGCAGTGAGGAAGTTCAACAAAGAGATTGATTTCATTTGCCATGATGAACAGTCTAGCCTCACTGATAACTACAGTGTTCTTCACTAGAGAGTCTTTTGAGCTAATTCTTCTTGGTCTTATTCTCCTGTGTGCCTTGACTCTGTGTGTGTGTGTGTGGGGGGGGGGGGGGGGGGGGGGGCTTTGTGACAGTTCTGTGAGTTCATACAGCCCATGAAAGAATGCAGAGGCTCAGCATTGAACCTGCACTTAACATGAGTGACAGTGCTGTGGATGGTGAAATCACAACAGAAGACACCACCTGTGTGTCACCTACAAAAGTACAGCCTCGTTGTCCAAAACAGTTGATAGTAAGGTACTTCTCATATATAAAGACCAGAGAGATTTTTGTGTAAGTGTAAACATTTTTATAGTTTTTTTCTTTGATAGTAATAGGCACCAAAATAAGAACTTACCAGTGTGGTTATCCTAACATTGTCGCTTTGAAACAACTTTGCTTATGAGAAGCTTTAATCAAACTGCTCTGAAGTATCTGGCACTTTGCTGTTTACCTCTCTGCCTCTGTAAGTGTTACCCTGGTTTGATGGACAGAATGAATTTGAAGATGGGCAGAATACCACTTTAGCTTTCATTAGGCCTGCTGTCATTTTCAGAACTACAAGCTGTATTTTTTCTATTTGCTGAACCATGAAGTCCTGAGCAAGACCTAAACATTGTTCGCTTTTTCGTAGAGCAGAGAGGAGCCTTCAGGGGAAGTAGAGGAGGCCGAGGCTGGGGAACACGAGGAAATCGTAGTCGAGGAAGACTCTACTGAGTACGACATCACATTCTTCAGCATTGTCATGAGCTTAATATTCTTAAATCTACTACTCATTGGATTGCCGGGGATGTCCCTTTAAAAAAGACTGCTGCCTTCAGCTGAAAACTAATGTTCTTTCTACCTTTGTATGTATGATCTACTTTTGTAACAGACCATGGTTGTGTCCAAGGTAAAACCACAACAATATTTTTGGATGCTTTGTCTGCAGCCTTGACATGTTTTCGCAATATCCTCATTATCAGACTTCATCTTGTGAATCTTGCTTTTAAACATCTTGATAATTTGTTATTGAGAACTGAGTCTAATGGAAATTTCAGTCTAGTTCAAGGTCTGGTAAAGTTCTTCACTTTTGAAAGATTACTTATTTTCCTCCCCATTCTGTTAGTTTTTTGCCCAATATATGGAGAAGAGTAATAATCAGTCTTAACCTTTTGCATTCACTGATCTCTAATGAAGCTGCTAGGCACTGTTGTAGCATTCATTCCTACTAAGACTCAGAAGTTAAACACCAGCTTCTTACAGTGTACAAGTGACATTAGGTTTTTAGGAGGCAGTAAGTGCTTTGCATTGCTTCCTTCACTCTTCTCCATTTTTGGGGATATAGCTTTTGAACACAGGGTCTTATTATTTGAATGGGAGTACATGTGCATAATATACATACAAACATAAGCATATGTTGTGTGTATATATGCATGCTATGGAACTTGAGTGTACAACAAATCAATATTTTAAATTCTAGGAATGGGTCATCTGACATAGTGATTATCCTTTTGAGGCTAAATCCACTATTGATTTGGTATCTAGGTTTTTACCCCAGTAGGGAGGACTTTGAATCAGTCATACTTACATCATTATTATTGTTTAAAACTAAAAACAAAGGCTGTTTTTCAGAGACAAATATGAAGACCCTTGTTGGTGAAAAACAGCCAGATATAGTGTACATACAGGTTCCCAGAGGATGTGATAGTGTAATTTAGGATTTGGAGACTTAATAACCAGGGCTACCCAGGAAGTGACTTGATGACATAGTACCATTAAATAAGATGCTCAGTTTGCTTTTGCCACTTTCAAAATTTAACTTCTCAGGTTATTAATCAGATTATTGTATAAGTTAGCCAGTAGTCTTTAGATTAAAACAACAAATGGGAGGTTTGTGGAGTGTCTCATGTTATGGGCATTTTAGTAGCCCAGACCCTTTGTTCTTCATTTGAATGTTTATATATTTTTGTTCCACAGTTAATTTTCCTTCCCCAAGTTTGCTATTCAAATTAGATATTCAGATGTCATTGCTAGTAGGTTTATTAATTTTTTGTTTTTGTTTTTGGGTTTTTTTGTTTTTTGAGGTTTTGATTCCTACACAGGTGTCTTCATTGCCGTTACTTCTACACTGGGAAAAAAGCAAAACCCCTTTGTGAGAATTACTGCACATATTTATGGAGATAATATTTCTAGAAGTCTAGAATAATACAGGTGAGCACAAGAAGTTGGTCAGCTTGACTAAGGAGTGCTGGCAATAATCTCTGAACATTCCACAAGACTGAGCTGAACCTAGGCTTCCTTGGAATCTGAACAGACATAGGAACATGGGATTGCCAATTGAAAACTGTGACCATCTAGTATGGACCTCAGAGATAGATCAGCCACGGTCTAACGCCATTTCGAGTACAAAAATGAATTGGACTACAGCAATATAAATTTGAACATAGTATAATTTTTCCTTTTTCTTGTCTGAGTGTATTTGTAAACTCAGCAGAAATAACTTGACCTCATGTCTGATGCAGAGCTCACTGCATTCCTCCTCCTCCCTTTGCTCCTTTTCCCTTGCCTAGGCAATAGTGCATAACTTAGTTCTTTTTGCTTCAGAGATTTGAAGAAAATCTTCATGCCATAAATACATTTTTTTTCTTCTGCAAGACACCTGTTTATCCCCTTGTTTAAATGTAAATGTTCCCTTATGCTTTTGAAATAAATTTCCTTTTGTAATTTTGTTTTGTGTCTTATTGTGTTATAATTATAACTTAAGATTCTTCATTCTTGGATATTATTAGCATTTATTGATTGCTTCTCATGATCTTAAATATAAAGATGAAAAAAGTGCTCTGTTGTCAAGGTCAGTCTTGATTCATCCTTGCAAGCCATCTGTTTTGGTGGGTTTTTTATAGGTAAGTACAATCTTCTGAAAAAGATTTGGTTCTTTTTGTCAAAACAGTGTCAGGAGAGCTGAAGCATGGGGTCCCATGCCTGTAATCCCATCAGGGTGCCGAGGAATGAGGCTCACAAGTTCATGTGTAGGCTGCATAGTTAGACTCCCAGTGTTTGAGGATAGAAAAAGTATCAGCCAGGTTCAGTGACAAACACCTGTAATCCCAGCAAGCAGGAGGGTGAGGAGGAGGATTCACAAGTTTGAGGCAATCCTGAGCTAAAGAGATCTCTCCTTTAAAATAAAAACCCAGTCCAGCAAGATGGCTCAGCCCATAAAGGAGCTTCCTTCCAAGAAGACAACCTAAGTTCAATCCCCTACATCCACTTGAAAGTTGTCCTATGACCTATACACAAATTCACACTAAATTAAAAAAAAAATAATAAGAACCTACATCAAATTCTTACAAATATCATGAAATCTCTCCAGTTTAGTTCCCAGTATCCACATTAGGCAGTTATGCCTGTAACTCGAGTTCTGAGACTGGATATGTACTCCTCAGCAAGCATCTACATTGGTGAGATGCATGCATATAATTTTTAAAAATAAACCTTTAAAAAGTAGTTTATATTAAAAGATGAAACAGGAACATTTCCTGTTATATATTGACCTAAAAATTGACTCTTTTTTCCCCTTTTTTCTTCTCTCTCTCTCTCTCTCTCTCTCTCTCTCTCTCTCTCTCTCTCTCTCTCTTTTTTTTTTTTTCTTCTTTTTGGTTTTTCAAGACGGTTTCTCCGTGTAGTTTTGGTGCCTGTCCTGGATCTCGCTCTGTAGACCAGGTTGGCCTCGAACTCACAGAGATCTGCCTGGCTCTGCCTCCCGAATGCTGGAATTAAAGGCATGCACCACCACTGCCTGGCTTCCTGTTTTTTTTTTTTTTTTTTTTTTTTTTTTTGGTTTTTCGAGACAGGGTTTCTCTGTGTATTATAGTGAAGAGAAGAAAATAGCACATTTAGGTTGGGATTTGTAATTGTTTCACTCACTTCAAATGGGAAAGCTACTTTTGGGAGGAATTGAAAAACCCAGCCAAAGCCGGGCGGTGGTGGCACACGCCTTTAATCCCAGCACTCGGGAGGCAGAGCCAGGCGGATTTCTGTGAGTTCGAGGCCAGCCTGGGCTACCAAGTGAGTTCCAGGAGAGGCGCAAAGCTACACAGAGAAACCCTGTCTCGAAAAACCAAAAAAAAAAAACAAAAAAAACAGCCAAAAACTTAAGTATGGATACTCAAGAAGATAAAAAAAATATATAAGCATAAGAAATTCCTCCTGCTAATAGTCTAGGTTAAATGAGCAAAGAATTTTAGGACAGACCCCCTAGGTGGCCTTGGTCAGCCCAGCTTTTCCCAATCCTGCTTGTACGTCTCAGAACATACCAAGAATGAACTGACCTAACTTGGGGACAGAAACCTGCACAAGGGTTGTATCCTTGTTCTTTCTAAACTAGTATGTTCTACATGTTTCCGCTCAGTGACACCAGTTACACCTAGTGTACAAAACCCAAAGTGCTTTGGGAGCTTTCAGATGTGGTATAACAGGACATTCCCATCTGCCCTGGGCAGCTTCCTTGACCTTAGAGGGAAAGTTTATTGGCTTTATTTATCTTTGCTGCCTACCTGTATTATATATTCCTTTTCCTAGTTTTACTGTGTATTGTGTCTCACTAGACTAGACCTAAGAACCTTTGCGGAAATTACTAAAGAGCTTCAGTACTCAAAATGTAGAAAGTAAATCACAAAGTAGTATGATATGTCATTAGTGCTACAAAATTCAGAGGTGGCAAGAAAGCTGACATCTTTACAAACTAGCATTTGAGCCGTACCTTAAATTGCAGAAAAGGAAGCACAAGTAAAGGCCCAGAAGGAATAAGCAAACACTCTTCTCTGCATTAGGGATACCTAATACAGGAATGGTGTTCATATATAGACATCCTTGTACACTGAATGTACACAATTTTTACTTCCAATTATACTTTAATAAGACTGGGATTTTAAAAGATCCACCTGAACTAAGGAAGACACATGTAGTAATATGTCACTCCTGAAATTCTACATTATTTGGCCGAAGGTATTATTGCAAATGTCATAGTCACAGATAAGCTAATTTGTGGTTAATTAAAAGGAAGATTATTCACTTGGAAATCTTATAGAAATTCATTAAATCTAGCCTAGAGATGAAGTAAGTCTAAGTTTCAAACAATGGAGACATTCTCTTACTGGCCTTAAAAGTAATGGCCATGTTGTGAGCTACATAGCAAGACATAGTGGGTGTTTTGCATTAATGGCTTGTCAGCATCCAGCAAGAAGACAGACCTCAGCCGGGCGGTGGTGGCGCACGCCTTTAATCCCAGCACTTGGGAGGCAGAGCCAGGCGGATCTCTGTGAGTTCGAGGCCAGCCTGGGCTACCAAGCGAGTCCCAGGAAAGGCGCAAAGCTACACAGAGAAACCCTGTCTCAAAAAAAAAAAAAAAAAAATAAGACAGACCTCAGTCCTACAAGAGCAAAGAACTAAAAGCTGCAAGAACTTGAATGAGCTTGAAGAGAACACTACCTAACCCTGCCACCAAGCTTCAGAGTGTAGCCTTGATACCAGTCTTGTGAGACTGAATAGAAAATCAGCCATGCCAAACCATACTCTCGTTCCATAGAAACTCAAAGTGTTAAGCTGCTAACTTTGTGAAGATTAGCTACACAACAGAAAACCATGGAGAGCTCTCAAGTTCTGAGACAAAATCTTGTCTCAAAGGACAAGGGTTATGATCTACAAAAAACAAGTGGATGATCCATTGAGTTCATAGAAGGTAATTTTGCTTCCTTCCCAAAGGCTAGATGCCAAAGGAATTGCTAATAGTTAAAATATGTATTAGGGATTCTACTCAATTCATTCTGGAGTTCTGAAACCAAGTAGGTGTATTAAAAGTTATTAAATGATGGGCTAGAGATACATAGCTCATTAGTAGTGTGTTTCGCTAGTATATGCAAGGCCCTGGGCTCAGTTGCTAGCATTGTAAAGAAAAAAAAAATCAAATGATGATGCCACTTTAATTATTTTATATACAGTAGATGACTACACCCAGAAATAAAGTGCTGAGAAAAAAAGGATTCCATCGTTTGTCACTACTTTAAAACTCAGTTACACTCCTTATTGTCTACATTTAAACTCAGTATGACACACGACTCCCTAACAACTTGACACCAGCATCACCTTACCACACTTTACCTTTGTGCCAAGCCTTTTTTCACCTGGTTGTAGCTCTCTCCTCTACGCATATACCCTTATCACACTCCCATTGTCTATATTTTAATTAACTCATCAACATCCTGGCTTACAGCTTAGTATTCATATTTCCATGCCCAGTCTCCACTACCATGCAAAAGACAGATGTATATGTATGGTGTACATGTGTTTGTGTATGAGAATGTGTGCTACATGTATAAAGGTGGATCCCCCGGAGCTGGAGTTACAGGTAGTTGTGAGCAAGAGCAAAAAATGCTCTTCAGCCCTGAGTCATCTCTCTAACCCCAGGTTGCACCTTTTTAGTAAAATGAATGTTCTTTGTCATCAGTACTTTAAGCTGCCCTGGGGGCTGGGCCTGATGGTTCATGCCTGTAATACCAGCATCAAGAGGCTGACAAAGGCCTTCAAGGCCAGCCTGGACTAAATTATAAATTTCAGGCAACTTGGGCTGCATATGGGGACTTCATTTCAAAAACAAAACCGAACTGCTGTCAGAATTAAACCATGTCGTGGTCTCAGTTCCCATAGCATGAGGCAGACGTTTGTTTTGTTTTCCTGCAACACACCTATTCTCATCCTTTCCCCAACAGAAAAAAAAGCATAACAAATGTCAACACAAAATGATACTCCATACTGCCACACTAGTAGGCAGTCCTGAAATATCTGTAAGAACATAACGCTGGTAGAAGCTGGAACCTAACTACGCTAGTTAATTGCTATTGCTAGTCTACCTGCTGGTAGTTAGCTTCTAACTTTAATAAATATTCAAATCAATCACCTGAGACTTTCCCTAGACTCTCAGGGCGTGGGGAGAGGGGAGCCACAAGTGCTGAAAACTTGCATATTTAATACGATCCCAGGAGATGCCAATATCTGGGTTCTACACCTACGCCTTTAGATTAGACTTGAGCTGCCCACCAAAGTCCTCCAGACACGTGCTGCTGTTAAAGCGCAGAAATCTGACTACACCAGATGTAACTGATCTGTAAGTACATATCGCTTTCCAAATTTAGGGAGAAACAAAGTATCTATACCGATTATACATGCAGATCTTGTCTTGAACTGCTATTTTGTATTTGACAAGTTCACTAGAGCTATTTTTTTTTTTTTTTTTTTTTTTTGGTTTTTCGAGACAGGGTTTCTCTGTGTAGCTTTGCGCCTCTCCTGGAACTCACTTGGTAGCCCAGGCTGGCCTCGAACTCACAGAGATCCGCCTGGCTCTGCCTCCCGAGTGCTGGGATTAAAGGCGTGCGCCACCACCGCCCGGCTAGAGCTATTTTTTAATTCCCTATGTGACACGCATTACAGTAGGACGGCGCCGCTGGACACTCCATTACGAACCTTGTAAAAATAATGCCTCTCCTGGGTAGTTCGAAAGCATCTTTCATTGCACTACCAGAAACAATACTTACTTTTTAAAAAGAACCACCACCTAGTCTTCTCACTTCTGCTCAAGCTCCACCTAGTCTAGTATTATTATCTCCCCTCTGGTTCCCACGCTTGGAGATCACATAGCCTAGAGGAAAACGATAACTAAAAAGCAGTTTCCAGCTCTGAGGTGTAGCAGTAGCGGCTGCCCCCAAGCAATGCTGAAGGGACTAATGAGCGGGCTCCTCCTCCTGCTCCAAAGGCGACCTCCCCAAGATGGCGGACGGCAAGGAGTAACTTCCGCTTCCGGTGTGAGCCGCCCGGCTGGGGGGGGGCAAGATGGCGGCGGCAATAGGGGTCCGCGGCCGGTTCGAGCTGCCGCCTTGCTCCGGGCCAGGATGGCTTCTCAGCCTTTACGCTTTGCTGAGCGTGGTGGCTCGAGGGGCCTTGGCCACTACGCACTGGGTCGTCACGGAGGACGGGAAGATCCAACAGCAGGTAGCGGCCAGGGTGCCTCCTCTCTGTCCGCGCCCCGTGAGGGGGGTCCCCGAGCCGGGCCCCTGTGTGGCTCCGCACGGCACCGCCCCCAGCCTGCCTCCCTGTGGTCCTGGCCGGCGGGTTGTGGCTTCCAGCGCTCAGACTTGGCGCCGCCCCCTCCCCTCAGGTCTCCTTGCCCTGGCTCCGCCGTGGGAAACTTCTCAGCCTTCCACCGTGGGGCCGCGCGCCATCCCGGAACCGACCCCGGGAAACCTAGACTTGAGCTCAGGGTTTAGGAAGCACATATTCATCATTAGTTCTGCCTTTGGAGCCTGTGGGCCGGGTCCCGCGCGCCACCACCTCTTCCCGAGGAAGTAGAAAGCAGGTGGCAGTGCCGGGGAGTGCGCGAGTCCCAGGCCGGTGACAACCAGGGTAGCTTTAGTGAATGGATCACTTATGCGACTCCTCCAGTCTTCTCTCCCACATGGTGGGATTTGTTTCAGGATATGGTGGTTTTAGGCTGTGCCGTTAGCCAGGTCATCAGGGGCTCATTAAAGACAACCCATTCTTGCTCCTTACGAAGGAATGCCAGAAGATGCCTCTGGTGGCGTTGTCTGCATCATTCAGCTCTTAGGTGCCCTCATTTCCCCGTGCATTTTGCATTGCTTTTTTACCTAGTTCCTGTAACCCAGCCCGGCACGTAGCATATACAGTTTACTAGATTATTGTATGCTTGAACTGATTTCTCAGAGGACAGACCGCTTTTCTTATGTAACTTTCTGATGCCTGCATTTGCGTTTATGCTGCTGATGCTTAGAGTACGTGCGCGCGCGAGGGCGCGCGCTCCACCACAGAATCTTGTAAACTTAATGACTTTCAGTGCTTAACAGCAATCGGTAAATGTCCAGCAGACATTTAAAAAGTGAAGTGTGTACTCCATGCAATCGAAGCATACTAACTCTAATATTTTAACCAAAGTCGCGTGAAATTACTGATCGTTTGGGTTAACTGTAGGAACCACTAAATCTAAACAAATATAATTAAAAATAGTCAGCTCCTGTCTTTTCATTATACTATTTACTCGCGTGTATTTATAGCTGACTCCCATTTTAAAAGGTTTCTTTTTCAAGAATATTAAGGTCCAGCTTAATTTTCATTAAGCTCCGGCTGAGGCTTCTCAGAAACCCTAGAAAATACAGTAGGGCTGTCTTTTGAACATAAGGTAAGAAATCTTGTGTCCATTCTCGTTGTTTTCATCTTTTGTTTGCTGTTGGTGGTTTTCCCTGATGCCCTCCTGAAAGGAGACATTGAATTAAGTCATTTATACTGCAATTTGGGGAGCCCTTCCCCTATTGGTTCTTTTGCTATATATTGTTTCTGGCCACAGCTATTTATACTCTGACATTGACTTCTCCTTCTAATTTTGGTGTCCTGCCATTCTACTGAGAAAGTAGCCCATCTGAAAAGTGAAGGCTAATTGATGGAGATGGATTGTTTATATGCTGAATATTGCAATGGAAAAGTCAAATGATATTTGGTTTTGTTCTTTAACAAATGCCGTCTTTTGCGCATTGGATCTATGCTTTAGAAGGGAAAATAAGGGTTTTAGTAACTTGCCTCAGAGTAGGGCCAAATCTTCGGACTCTCTGCCAAGTCATCCCTTCAGTAAGTAGTTAGGCTTAAAGTTAAGAAAGCAAGTCTTTTTCATTTGTGTCTTTTTTAATGACCCCTTTCACTGACTTTTCCAATTCTTCTCTGCACATTAACAGTTGCAGCATTGAGTTCTGGCAGCCATGAAATTTTATTCTATAAGAAACAAAGTTGCACACAACAGTGTAACAGCTGGAGGGTAGTGATAGGGAAGATGGAGTTAATCTAAGGGAAAATCAGTACAAATAAAGTAGGAATTGGATATAGTGGGCAGCTTTTGTGTTGGGCTCCAGTAACTGCCTAACTCTTGTGCCCTTTCCTGGCAATAAACTGAATTCAGGCAAAATCTAATAAATATAGTTTAGATTGCAGTCAGTGGTCACATTGGGTATATCTTAGTATGAAGGTTTGGGGATATTATAGTTCTGTTTGTAAATTCAGAAGCATAGTTAGGATCCAGTATATATACTGTATCCTCAGTGACATATCTAATTCTTGGTTCTTGATTCTGTTACTCAGCCGAGAACAGAAGTGTGGTTTCAGTTTTAAAATGACCTACTATCAAGAAGAAGCCATGGGCAAACTGAAGTAGAAAAATCTTAGAAAATTAGAGTGGCAAATGCCTCTCTGATTATTTGAATTATAATATTTAAACTTTTTCAAATTTTATATAAGTCATTACTTTTCCACAGCACAGTCATTTTTCCCCAGCAAATGTGGAGGTGTTTATATGAATTAAAAATCAGAATTGGAGCCAACTGTGGTGGCACACAACTTTAATCCCAGCAATAGGGAGGCAAGAGGCAGGTGAATCTCTTGAGTTTGAAGCCAGCCTGATTTACTTATTTAGCAAGTCCCAGGCCAGCCAGAGCTATTTAATGAGATCCTGTCTCTCAGAAAAAAAAAAAAAAAAATCAGGCTTGCCCGAAGTGTACATTTAATTAGGGACATTTCCATTATTGTACTTAGTTTTAAGTACAGCATGGAGTCTTTACCAGGAGAAGTGCATATTCATTGAATTTTTATATTTCAGCCTTGGCAGACCCTAAAGATAGATAGCCACTAGTTCTACACTGCAGGCTTGTGAATATGCAAGTGTGGAAACTCACTGTCCATGGGTGGGTTGAATTGGGGCTTCAGTCAGACAGATCTACATTCTTGCAGGCAGCCTTTTTACAATAAAAGCTGGGGTTGCTGCTGGCAACAGCACGTGTCCAGTGAATGCCATGGAAAATCAGAGTGCTTCTTTCCATGATCCCTGCCTCAGCTGAGAAGCATCCCTTCTTACCACTGAATTTCGCAGGAACGTCTTCTAGGGAGTGTTCCATTTGCTGTGTTTCTTTCCACCACAGACAGACAAAGGTTAAGAAAAAGGCTGCCCATAATTGTGAGCTTTTTCTCCACTTTGGGTTCTGGGATACCTCTTAGCATTCATTGCCCCCTTCACCTGGAAATCAGAAAGACCATCTGTCTTCATCGGCTTTCCTGCTGCTCTGACAAAATACCCCAACAAAAATACTTAAGGGAGAAAAGGTCTATTTAGCTCACCACTCCAAGTTACAATCCATTATGGGAAGGTGGGGAGATGTCAGGGTAGCAGGAACTTAAGGCAACCAGTTAGAAGCAGCTACTCACAATACAGCCATAGAGAGCAGTGAGTTAGCACATATATGCCTGTGCTCAGCTCACTTTCTCCACTTTTTACAGTCTAGGCCTCAAACCCAGGGAACAGTGCTACCCACAGAGGATGCTCTTCCCTTCTCAATTAACAAAACCAAGACAATTCCTTGAGACATGCCCACTGGCTGATTTAATCTAGACCATCCCTCATTGAGACGCCCAGTGGTTCTAGATTACGTCAGATTGGCAAAATTTATCATCCCACCTTTTATCTCACTTTATTTAAGCAAGACTCCTTAACTTGGGCTCATTTTGTGAACTAGATGAGTGCGTGCTATTAGCCAGTTATTGTGAGGATCTACTGTGTAATTAAGCCAAAATAAATAAATAAATAGATAGATAAATAGATAAATAACTTGCATCATCCTTAGGTGTTGAAATGGGGCTTCATAGTTAGTGGTACACATCTATAATCCCAGCACTGGGATATGGAGGCAGGAGGGTCGGTAGTTGGTTATCCTTGACTATATAGCAAGGTTATGACTGGCCTGGACTACGTGAGACCCTGTCTCCAACACAAACTTGTGCTCGAGACACACACATGGAAGGAAGGTAGCATGCTTCAGTTAGAGCATGTAGGCAGCTTCTTCATAATCATAGCTGGGACTGTTGCTGGTTGATTTTGTGAAGAATAATCTTCTAGACAATATTTTCAAGTATTTTTTATTTTTTAATTAAAATATAATCACATCACTTTCCCTTTCCTTCTTCCAACCCTTCCCATATAACCCTCTGCTCTCTTTGAAATTCACGGCCCCTACTTCTTTAATTGTAGTTAAATACTTGTGTTGTTTAATTTTGATGTTCTTAACTTAACCGATAATGTGGCAGCTTTTCCTTTCCCTCCCTTTCTCTCTTCCTTCCTTTTTCTTGTTCTTTGTTTGTTGAGACAAAGTCTCATATAGCCTAGGTTTGCCTCAAAGTTACTATGTAACAGAGGTTTGCCTTGAACCATTTGATAATTCTGTTACCATCTTTGAAGTGTTGATTACAGAAATACCCAGCGGGCCCAGGTTTTTGTGGGTTTTGTTGTTGTTCTTGTTTTCTTTTTTTCCCAAAGTACCTGGTAATTCACTTGCAGGGAAGGTTAAATAAATTTTGAGATTAGCCTTTGACCCTCAACACTCACTCGTATCCTATTTCTTTAGTTTTTGTTTTGTTTTTAATTTGTCTGTTTTAGCCTGTATCTCAGGCTAACTTCAGACCTGCCACGTAGGATGACTTTGAACTTCGTAATCCTGAGGTTACAGGTGTGTACCTCTATGCCTGGCTCATTTCATATCAGATGAACTCTTGAATGTTGCAGCTGTTAGTGTGTAGGCTTGTTCAATTAAGAATTCTCTCTCTCTTCAGCAGTGGAAGTCTCGGCTTTCAGGAA